GTTCTTATAAGGACGAAAGGTCTGTGACCTAAAATAAGCTTCCTCAAGCGTTTTGCTACGGCAGCCCCGCTGCACGCCCTTTCATACAAGGGTACGTGTAACCCCGTTCCAACAAGCCCAAACGTCTGTTCGAAGAAACCCAGCAGTTGTTGAAATGAGATCTAGAAAATTTGTCACTGGGCTCGTAGATGGTGTGAGTCGTGTTTCCGCGTTGCGAAATTCAAATAATCACCTAATGGAAGATGGCTAACTTCATTATTCCTACATTTCTTATGTAAATTATGGGGCAGGAATTTTGGTCTGTTGCTTGAGATCGCTCCGTGGTTGGTCAGTACCTTGGAACCCAGCACACAATAGTGTTTTGGATTGTATCACATCGGAGCAAACGGAATTGATTAAGGCTTACAAAAACGGAGGCAATAAATCAATGATTGGATAAGCGAACGATGACCTTATTATCATGATACCCAAGTTAACCAAATTACAATCATTGATGCGCCAGAATTTTTTATTTGATGAATACCAAAATATAAGAGGCCTGAAATAGTCCCCTAATTCTTACATTTTGTTCATCTGTTTCCATTACTTCAATCATCTTACAGGAATATGAGCGCGACGGCTTGGGCTTCATGGCTTGACCGGCTGGAAAACGCACGCGGTCAAGAAAAAATCTTGTCCAGCAAAATCCGCACAGATAACTCGAGTACCATCGGCACTAGTGTCTTTGCACTACAGCAGAGTGTATCGCGGCTGAAGCGCGACTTTGATCAGCTTAAGAGATCATCCAGTATAGTGTACGGCTTCGTGGCCTCTTCTAAATGCGCTTATCTTCAGGCTCAAATAACACTTTGATGCCACATAGAACAAAAGAAGAGATTGACCGTCGGGAACTACTGCTCAAACAGTTAGTGCAGGATCAAGTACGACAATGCACTATGTGATGAAGAAAGGGGTGTTTTAATTCTAGCATAATTTGTTGAATAGCAAGAGAATCTGGACATGTATGACAGTCGGAAGATTTCAAAAGAGGCAGTAACGTGTGTTGACTATTCAAACCTCTGAATGCTGTACGAAGGTCTGAATGTTGTGCTGTCTGAAGCAGTCCTGGTACGGCGGATGCGCCATCACGATTGCTGAAGATGCAGAACCAGATCATGAAGGACCAAGACCAGCAGCTGGACTTGATTAGTTATGGCGTGTCCAACTTACGAAATTACAGCCTGTCTGTTAAGGATGAGACGGAGCTGCACGTGCGGCTGTTGAACGACATTGATAACGACGTGGCTCGTGTGACGGACGGACTCGAGTCTGAGGGTGCGCGTGCAGCACGGGTGCGATAAATTGCTCTTTTGATATCTTTATCGTATCTGTTATTTAATGTTTTTGTAGGTGGCAAAACAAAGCAATAACACCAGGCTTTACTTGATTATCCTCGTTCTCACTTTGATTCTCATATTCCTTCTTCTAACCGGCGGATAGGTAGTCTTAGTATTATATACTGGTGGTATCTGGCGTTATAAGTGTCGTTATGTATGAACCTTGAATTTAAACAAAACATTTTCTGCTCTAACGTTTTATTCTGCATCATGACAATTTGCTGCTCCTGAACATTACAGAAGTAGAAATTTGCGCTCGCTATTATCGCGCCACCCGATACGACCATCCCATCCGCAGAGCAGCAAAAATTTTGCGAGACCTACAGCTCACTACTGCATCCATCACAGCACAAGCAGGCTCCTGAGCGTTCTGACAGGTCAAAAGAGATGGTGCGAGAAGCTGCTGTGCTTGAGCGCGAGCGTTCAGGTCTAGAACATGTTCTGTTACACCGCCGCTGGTTTCTTCACTATGCATCACCGCTATTTCATTTTGAATGCAGTCAGCTCAGCGAATATGCTCACGACTTAGTCAAAACTCTACGTGCTGCCGCGCTACGAGCGTGCGGCCAGCAGTTTGGATATAGTGTAAGCATTCAAAATGCGGAGAAGTTAGTGGTCTTTGAGATTCACGAAGAGCGCGATAATCGTCGCAATATAAAAGTTAATGCCACATTGGCACAGGGAGAAGGATTTGAACGCTCGGGAGGCTTCGTGCTGTACCTACAGACCGACGTGGAGCAGCGCTTTCCGCCTAAAGGACGTGAAAGACAGCAGCTGATTTTAATGAGAGGAGATGCAGAGCTGCTGCGCTGGATTTGTTCCTGGCTGCAGCACTGCTTTCAATGTGTAGTGAGTATACACGTAGTGCATATTCAGCAACAGAATCTCAAGCGTATGGCACGTGATTGGGCTGTGGCGAGTCTTGTAGCTGAAGAAATTTCAATTGTAAGCGAAGAGCGAGGAGGTGACTCTCAGGAAATACAAGCAAATTATTTTGGCAGGTATAACGAACCACCCAAGGCACCGCTACTGCTCGAGTACCGCGCAACGAATGAGGCGGGCGTTTTACGTACGTACACAATGACAGTGCCCTGGGTCACGTTGCGTCGACTATTTTGGCAGAATAACGACAGATCTAAAGGCAATCATCCACATCCTCACGTGCCAGGTACGCAACAATTTTAAAACTTATGAATGCATGTGCGTTTGACTGCTGTTTCCAGAGCTGATTGAGCTTGTAGAGCTACTTTATTTCGACTCTTTGCCATTTGATTTGTCTACGTGCGAACTTGAGCGAGTTGAGATGCAGCAAGTGGTAATTCACTCAAACGGTAGCGTGGAGGTGCGCGCTGAACGCGTTTGTTTACACTTTGAAAGTGTTTTAATCTCACTGACGAATGTTGTAAATTTGTATAGCTTTACAGTATGGACTTCGTACATGCTGTTCTGACTACTTTGTTGGAGCTCCCGGCACTGCAGTCTCGTGCTACGTATTCTTGTCCAGAGACGACACTTTAGAATTGTCATAAACAGACCAGATTGATTTGATGTCGTCCTGATGAGTAGCGACGTTGCAATAACAATGTACTGTTTACAAATCTCGCTTGATAGATCAATTGTATCGGCTTAGATCAAGTTTTAAGGCGGATATGCTACTCTCCTGCACTAAAGATGATTGTTCGCGTTGTTCAGGAGCGTTGGAGCCCATGATAGCGAGGCGCAGTGACGTCTCAAGCACTATACGTAACGCCGGCACCATCGATGTAACGGCTTCCCTGAATGCAACGGCATGAGTCTGCGCTAAGCATAATAGCAGTCGTGCAAGGATACCAGAAAATTGACCAGAAATCACATGATCATGTGCCGGGGAGAAGGGATAGCCAAGCACGATCGCGAATCTTGGTAGCACCATGTGCACAAACTGGGACCCATATTGATCGTTTAGCTGCATCGTCAGCATACGAAGTAGCGCTTCTGCTGCATCCATTTCATCGAGCTCAGCAGAATTTTTCGGATATCCGTTTGATGCGCAAACTGTATCAACGAGATGTGGTCCGAGAGCCCTCAGATAGCGATTTGTAGTGGACATTTGCCGCGCGTCGATCAGCTTTATTATAATAGCGTGCAAACCTCGCAGTAATTCTACTTTGGCGGCGGTATGTTGCTCTTTTATATTCTCGTTGTCGTGGAGTTGAGGTGATGTAAATCTTCCAAATTCTGTCAAAATTGTGTTGGAGACTTCATAGTGCAAACGCTCTGCATCTGCTTGTAGAAACGTTGGAAATTCGATGGCAAAATTTGCCACGATCTGCAGTGAAAATCTTGGTGAAATGCGAAAATCATTTTTGACCCACTCGGCAAGATCAATAAAGCAACTACTCATGCTTATTTTGATTTGGGTCAAAATGTCAGCGGATGCATCGTTGCTGCTGTCCAGTGTACGTGCCAGAGCAAGTACTGACCCGACGGAAGCACGACTAAGCGTTACCACAGCGTCCTTGACTGAGGATGGATAGTAGCAACTAGCAACAGCACAAATAACTTGCTGTACTTTAGCTAACAAGCATATCACCCCATGTCGCGCTTCTTCGGTCGAATGCAAAAGAATGATTCCATTGGTAGCAAATTGAATGACTTCAGTCATGTGTTTGGTATCTTTGACACTCGCAACAGAGCTTTGACGGGTTTCTGTGGTCCTGCTACCGACACTTACTGCCCGAGCATGCCTAGTCTGCTCAGCAGCATCACAAAGTTGTAATATCACATCTATGGGGCACGCTCCGGCTTGCACTACGGCATTAACGAGTGAATTTCTGTGCTGCTGTCCTTCAGTTTCAGAGCAGCAGAAGTCTTTAGCGAAATCAAGGCTCTTGCGCGATAAGCAAGAAAACATCGCTTTGAGAGCCTCTACTTGCGCAAGGCCACAGCACCGCTTACTTGCAAGTCTGAGAGCGTGGATTGAAGCAATCAGTAGCACCAAGAAGTTACTGGATAAGGTGCAACCTTGATTAGGTGGACATTCTACTAAAGTTCTCAGCAGCAGCGGAACACTGCGAAAAACTGCCGGCAAATCCTCTTTGTCTTCCACACTATCACGAGCGTTGGCATTAATATGGAGAATTGCACTAGATAGCAAGACAAACGTCCACATCAGAATCCTATTTGCTTGGGCACCACTAATAGAAACACATTTCGGCAAGTAAATTTGTGAAATTGCCATTGCATTGACAATTTTTGGCCAGTACCGCTTGTACAGTGTTCTTAAACACTTTGACGATGATAAAGCAGCCGCTGGCGCGTTTGCGCTAAAATTTACGGGTGGAAAGGGCATCTGAAGTGCTGGCATTGCCACTCCCTCATGAATTGACATTATATCACCAAATGATGCTTCTAGCTGTGCCCACAGTGCACAATCTTGCATGACGGCGGCGTAGGCAAAAGTTGAATCCATCCAACACTTAAAGAGATACTCAGTACCTTCTGATAAGACACTTGTCAACGCCTTTACAAGTGGGGATGTCGTGATAGCTCGGTATTCATCATCATGCGCATCGTTCTGAGCTATCGCCAGCATGACACAAGAGGTAACTAATCCTCCCACTGACGCCAAATTTGCTAGTGAAAGAGAAATGCGGGTGAGGTTATCTCCAATAAAATGCTCGTGGCCATAGTCTGACGTCATAACTGCTTTCAGAATGCGTCCTAATGCTACCTTGTCTTGAATTAGATGAGCGGAGACACAAGCACCCGCAATGCAATGTGCTTCAATGAGTAATGGCGCGAAAAAAAACTTATCTTCGTTATCAGCTTTTCCCGAATCTAATGGCGGAGACTCTGCTTGTACCTGCTTCAAAGAATGACGGAGAGCGGACGAAAGCTGGGCACGGTACGGATCCAATAAGTATGCATCTCCCGTAGACACTTCAGGATCACGGGCTTCGGCAAAATTTCTAACCAACAAATTCAATAGACGAAGACCCACACACTGATACATGAGAAGCTCCTCATCCGCCGCGACTGTTGTGGCAACTTGGCACGCGAGAGTCACAAATTCGTCCAAGAACATACACAAAAAATTTTGAAGATTGGAATTGGCCGATGTCTCACCAGTAATAACTTCCAAAAAATAGCGGCGCGCCGCAGTGAGATCAAAATGCAACTGTGTGGTCAGACACGCACCACTTGTCACTGGTGGGTTCACTGCCATTATTTCAAACACACGTATGACGCATTCCACTGCAAAGTGACGCACCTGTCGTGACACTGGTGGCATCAAAGCAATAAGGCCTTCCACGGTTGCTTTTGTTTTTCGCCACGTTTGCACTTGAGCTGTAACAGCCGCAGATGCAAGTGAACTGTCGTCAACTTTCGATACATCCAGGCCAGGATAGAAAGACCACTCCCCCTGCTCTCCTGACGCTTTGATACTTGATGATGGTGAGCGTTCCGAGTTGATAGCTTTCGGGCTTTTCATAAATTCCTTAGCATCGGTGGCAGTACTCGCTGATTCCCCGATGGCAATGCTACGACACAACAGAGCCCAGAGGCATGGCTCAGCGCGCTCGTGATCTGTCCCTACCACGTCTAAAAGAGCCTTAGCTGTGCTCTGCAACACATCAATGCTAATTTGCTGCATAGGCCTCGATTCTGCAAAATTGAATGAATGTGAGTTCCACATGTCATGAAGTCCAGGCAGATAAGTCCACACCAGCGTTTTGTACTCAGCGTGAAGTGCCGAAAACAGTAGACAAAAAATATTTTGACGGCGAATTAAGGTTGGATCCCGTTCCACCAGTGTACGAAGGCACGACAGACCGACAATTCGCAGAATACTACGGGACCAACCGTTCGTATATACACCAACGTTAAGGAGCCCACTGTGCTCGAACGGCTCGTCAAACCTCCCAAGTGTGGCCATATTCATTCCACAGCCTACATATGATGAGTTTGAGGATCTAATATTTTGTGCTGTCACTGTAAAAGGATTTCCAGAGTTAAGTAGCGCAGTGTCAGACAAAATGTACAATAAATACTTTAGATCCACATACTGAAAACGGGATGGAGCGAATACGGCTACTTGCTCCAAAAATCTCAAGAACTCCAACTCCACACGCGTATCACCATCTTGACGAAGCAGCATCCAGTATGAGTAAATTTTGTTTAGACGATCACTGGTTCCATCAAGCTCTGGGCCAAGTACTGCCACCACATCATTGATAATCTGCCCCAAAGCAACCTTTGTACCTATTTGCCAACGTAACCCATCATTGTGCACCTTCGAATACACAAACCCTGCCATGATATGCGCTTCCAGTAAAGAAAACGTTGACCTAACAAAATGCTCGTAGTCGCCGCCAGTAGAGCTTACCGATTCTAAAATTATGCCCCATGAATGCAAAATCCATGTACGAAGAGGTTGTGAATATTCACGAGTAAAACGGAAAATTAATCCTGTGTTGATGGCGATGCGTGAGCCGCAACTACGTTTAATGCAAGCTAACGCAAAAGCTGTTCCGGCTGACAGACTTGACACGTTTATTTCGGCGGCGGAGCCGAAAGTGACGCTAGAGGCTCCTTGGGATTGCTTATATACCAATAATCGCTTTTCTAAATCACTGATTAATATTTTGCAATGGCTTTCGTCGAGATTAAGCGATAATAAACCTAATGCTTCGCCGGCACCACGACGCACATCTGCCTTTTCACTTGCGATCATTTCACACAACATTGTTTGCATTTGAAGGGGCCACGATGTAGCAGATAGCAATGCTGAAGAAGTTATCGCAGCGCCAGCTAAATCCAATCGTTTAGCTTCAGTAATAACCGCGAACAATAATGAGCAGACGTTAACTTCGCAATCGGCTCGGACATCGGATAGAGCTCCTGCGTATTGCTGGAGACATCGCAACTGCAGGTCTTCTGGAATAAAATGAAATAGACGACCAAACAAAAGCACACAAGTATCCACAAGGCGAACATATGTGATTGGACTGCGATTTGCACGCTTAATTATACCGTTCACAGGATCCTGTTCCGCAATTGATCTCCAAAACGTATCAAGATACTGTACTTCCAGCTCAATATCGGTGAGCGCATTTTCTCGTTGCTGCAAAGCAAGAATATGATTGAGCTCTCGTGAGTACAGCGGCGATGGCTTATCGCCTGCTTCTAATCGTGAAAGAGCAATCGCGTCAAGCGTATCATCATACGAGGAGAGTACACTTTGGAGGTATGTCGACTTTGTCGGGACCAGTGCCGAGTGCCTTAAGTTGGTCAATGCCTGCGCTATAGTATGTTCAGCAATAAGATCTAACAGCACAATGTATGAATCACTGTACACAGGTGGGAGCATCGAAAAACAGTCAAGGATGCACCCAATGAGGCGGTATCGGGCGATTTGGCCGCGGCGCTTTGGTGGATGGCTAAGAGTGTTTTGTGTCGCCAGTAGATAAACGTGAAGTACGTGACTTGCAAGAACGTAGATGTCGTTATCAGCTTCTATGGTGGCATCCTGGCAGTTGAACAAAAAGGCACTCAAGGCAATGACAGCGGCTTCAATGCGCAGTAGCTCCAAAGATGATTCGCGACTGTGCAGAACACTAGATTTAAGCCATAAATTCAAGAGCTTTTCTAAATTTGCCCTGATCCACTGTTCGTCATTCATGGAGACAAGACTTCCAATCAACGTCCATCCTGCTCGCGTGCAGGTGAGCCAGATGCTGTCAGCACATTCATTGAGAAACTGACTCTCCACAAGTTCTTCCGATATGGTATATATATCGTCCATAATCGCTTGAGATAATCCTTCCCTACCTTCTACCTTCATAGCGCGAAGAATATGGACAATTGCAGCAGATTTGCCTTGAATCGCATACAAGTGATTCTTACTCATGTCTTTGCTGTCGTGAAGCCAACCTTTTGTCTTTGGAGCCAACTCTATAGTATCTACTTCGTCAATGTCCGGACCTCCTCGCATAAGATACTCTGCAGTATCACGAAGACCCTGAAGACACCTCGTCAGCACGTTTTTAAGCCGATACGGAATCGCGGTGACAAGTGAAGCCAGCGCAACAGCTGCTTGAAATCGAACGCTTTGTTTTTCATGGCAAATGAGATTTTGGAGCACATCACTAGCATCACGTGCTTGAGTAACAGCAGATTCGCCCATGGAGTGAAACATGTGACTAATTTCGACTAGTATCGACAAAATCTTGTGATGATTTGACTCTGCTGCTTGATTCTTAGCCTTAAGCTTTTGTATATAAATACCTAAAAGTATTTCTTGTTTGTGCTCGTTAAGAGACCCATTAAGTCCATAGCGCAGTACAAAGCCCGCAGCATTGCGTGCTCTGGTCAGATCCCCGAGTGCGAACGGATGGTCAAGGATAGAAAACGTAGCATCCATAATTTCACGAAGCTGTGACTCAGCTATTAAATCTGGCGGTAAGCGCTCAAACATACTGCACAAAGCGATAGAAAATGAAGCCAAAATACCTCCGTGGCCTTGACCTGAATTCGTCGAAAGATATTTACTAGTAATCATATCTTTAAAATATGTGACCACGTGTGCGATTGTGGAGAAGTTAACTGTAGCAGCCTTTCGACGCGAGAGAGAAGACGGCAAATTAATTCCGGGAACATGTAGCTTGAAGCCAGATTTAATTTTTCCGGCACTGCTAGAGGGAGTCTCGGGTATCGTCGATCCTCTGCCAGTTCCATCTTCGACATTGCTTCTAATAGTGCTTGTTCCATTATATTCGCCTCCTGCTTGTATGTCTGTGTCTCCTGAAGATGTCGTTGCATACTTGGCAAGCACCACACCGAATACCACAGAGTACGCTCTTCTTGCTTCAGGTGCAGCATCATCTATCCCTTTTGCAGTAACTTGCATGATCCCCTCGAGCGACACGCCAGGTGAGCTCGGACTGCTGCTTCCTGCACTCGTTCCTGCCGATGCTCCCGTACCATTGCCACTTCCACTCACACTTCCATTGGAGCTGCTTCCGGCCTGACTTTCGCTAGTGGCATTACCTCCAGTACTTGACGCTGCTGACACAAAGGTGCGCTCTGCCACGACTTGCAGCAGCCTCGCGGCAGCTATCCGTACTTCTGGTACCTTGTCTTGGAATGTTTTGTACACGATTTTTAGAGCTTCTGCATGAAATGCCATCAGTCGGTTTGAGTCTCCTTCGAGAGCATAAGCCACACTTTCAATAAGGCACTGTTTCATGTATTGATCCGCCCCTCGGATGTTTTTATTGGCCACAACCATAGCATCAGGAAAAAACTGTAGTGTCTCTTGCAGTGGCAAACGACAGACTACCATAATTAGCGACACCTTGACAAAAAGCGATGTATTCTTGCCAAGCAGTGTGTTATTGATCATCGGAACGGCAGAAAATTCAAAGGAGCGCACAAGAAGGTCACACACAAGGTGGTGCACACACTCGGACGTAGAGGCATTGGACGATGCTATAAACCCGCCCGAATTACCACTTGCCAATCCTGCGTTACTATTGCCCATATATCCACCGCTGTACACAATGAGCGTGGTCAGCAGCAGCTCGAAGAGCGCCGTATTGCTCTTGCTGCTTCGGTCAATGGCTGATGTAGAATCTGACAGCAGATCTGGCTTCCACAGACGCTGCAGTGCAATCAGCGACTGTACAATTTCTTTGTGCTGTGCCTTCATATCCTTTGTGGAGCCAGTACCCGTGCGTATGATTTCCAGTGCGGCTGCTAGCCGCCGAGCGGCGCCCTTCATTCGACGCGTGTGTTCAAAAGACTGAGGGTTATTGGCCAATGGGATTTGGGAAAGGAGAAACTATAACTTACATTCAAGTAATCATGACGTCGCGCTCGTGGGAAGAGATCCGGAATTGTGCGCGGGCGACGGAGCACACGCTCGAGGACAAAATCACGACCTATATTTCATTGATCAGACCAAAAGTACGGCAGACGGTCATTTCTAATATTGAGGGTGCGAAGAGAAAGACTTTAAGATGTTGGTAGCGCGAATAACTCTCATGCCCTTCTTATCGAAATTGGTGGGACTGAAATCTTCCAGAAGAGAGTGTTAATGAGAGGAAATTGATGCTAGATATTGAGAACGGATTATCAAAGGTGACTGTCAACGTGCTCGGATAAATGAGGCAAGTTGTTGCTCATAGCTTGGTGTGTTGTGTGTAGCTCTCAGACACGATCGACGAGATGACTGTCGTGGTAAATAAATCATCCATAAAGGCACAGGACGCCATATTAAAGCGCTACCGAGAAATATATTTCGACCTTAACACAAAATTTCGTCGCTCCATGGTAAGCAATGCTGTCTTATTTTATACAAAGCTTGCATTTGTTTTCATTGTTCCGTTTTCAGAGCTCGTTGCAAGAAAAACGTGATGCACAAAGTTTATTTGGAGACAGGTAGGTGCAATAATGTCGCCCTCACATCAGTTGAAGATATCGGTAGATCAGGGCTGTGCCAATCTTTGGATTCTGTTTTTGTGAATTTATTTCTGTAGAGTATACAGTGGTGTTCCGGAAGATGCTGAGATGAATTCGTTATTAAATGAGCGCCGAACTGTAGACTCGACACGCTCCATGACCAGCATTGTTATTGAGCAGGCCATGGCAACAAAAAACGCGCTCGAAAACCAACGCCGGTATTTCACATCGTCTCGCGGTAAAGTTTCGACGGTGGCCAGCTCTTTTACTGGAATAAATACGCTTGTCGAACAAATTCGTCGCAAGAAGATGCGAAACAACATCATTATTGCTGTAGTGATCGCAGGGTGCACTTGTTTCACGCTTTGGTGGGTCGTGCTGTCTAAATTGTAGCAAAAGTCTTGCGAGATTTTTTTCTTATAATCCAATCAACGGCTTTGAAAAACGTCTGTCGCGTCGATTGGTGGTTACTTTATAATTCGTTAGAAGAAATTTAAAATGTATGAGTGGTTGGTTGGCTTTAGTAACTTCCATGTAGACAGCCACTCGAGAAAACGCAGCGAAAGATTAAAGCCTGTACAGAATTTGACCAACATGGGAAGTCGTGGAGTCTCGCTGCTGGTGCGCAACATTAGCCACCGTTTGAAGTTAGTTTTGTCCTGTCAGACCCGTTAGCCCAATCTGGCTGCCGTACAATAACTATCAGATTCACATTTTCCTTGATTATTAGACCCGAAGACCTTCGCAAGGAATTTGAGCGCTATGGGGAGGTGCGTGACGTATACATCCCTAAAAACTTCCACACCAAGTACGTTCATTCCTGATCAATCGCTTGTTCGCCATTAAGAAGGGAGCTGTACAACTCTTTTGACGCATATCTTGTACATATCACGTAGAGAACCAAAGGGGTTTGCATTCGTTGAGTTTTGCAGCGAACGTGAAGCCGATGACGCACGGCGTAATTTAGATGGCATTCGCATTGATGGCCGTGATCTTCGTGTGGTGTTTGCCCAAGAGCGGCGAAAATCAACGGACCAAATGCGCGAGCGCGAAAGGTGCGTCAACTCATTTCATCTCATTTGTCCGATGTTTGCCAACTAGCGTCTCTTTTTGATACATGCAGAATGGAAAGGCGTGGGGAGCGCCGACACTCGCGCTCGAGGTCTCCGCGCCGCCGTCCAGCACGTGGGCGATCTCGTTCTCGCTCTTATGACCGTCGGGCTCCGGTTAGGCGCTCATCGCGTTCGCGTTCTCCTGCTAAGGCTCGATCTCGTTCTCGTTCACGTTTGCGGTCTCGTTCGCGAATTCCGTCGATCATGCGCTCACCTCTTGCTAAAGAGTCACCGCGCCGGTCTTTGTCACCTCGCCGATCGACATCGCCGGCAGCACGTTCCTCATCGCCTTCACCGCACCGATTGAAAGACCGTTCTTACTCGCTTTCACCTCGCGTTGAGGATGACCACCGCTCCACTGGCTAAGCAAAAAATACGTGACCTGTCGCTCGATTTGCTATTTCAATAGCTTAACGCGGATGGCTACAGGGGTATGGACATTTGTCAATTTTTGACATATAGGTACAAGACAGGCCATCAGAGAATTAAAGTCTGAAGATCATGAAGATCCAAGCTGAAAGAAACAAAGCAAATAAAACAAAGAAGCGTAGCTACTACAACTATTTATTCAAGAGAAGAAGAGGAAGAATATTGACACAACGTAAACGCTGACCTTGCTAGCTGTCAGGTCCAACGTTGAATTATGTGCTCGACCTTTTTCGGACGCTACTTGACCAAGGATACTTTCCAGTCTAGTACGGAATAAGTTCTAACATATTCTTACCGTCCGCACCGCTGTAGGCACTCGATTACTCTTACAGAATTCTTTATTCCTACTGTTCGACGGTCCGATCAAATCCCTAGTGAATTCGTTGCCTGAAGTATGAACCGAAATTGACTTGAGCATGCACTTGCACGGTCGAAATTCGTGGTAATCGGGGATATTCAATTTCACACAGCTTCATACAAAAAAAGCATAATCATTGTATGGCCCGACATATGCAATATTATGTTTAAGGCTTCATAAAATTTCAACTTAATGGATTTTTGCGAATAGAAGACCTACTACTATTACAAGCCCCCATCGAATTTTCGACAAAAAAAAAAACCGCTTCGATTAAAAGACCTATTCAAATAAATGGCCGCTGTAAACACCTTAGCATTGGGCCGTTATTTTAAAATCGACCATGTAACAAGCAATTGAGCTCGGAAAGAAGCAGGAGGCGATCAAGTGGATCGGCGAGCAAGGTG